AAATTGAAATCCAGTTTGGTTCTGTCTCCCAAACCTCACCCCTACATCCCAATTAGCAGTCAAATGTCCATACATGTCAGACATTGTTCCTTCCACCCTTAAAATAAACTACCTTGCTGCTAACAGCCTTATTTAATGGCTATAGTATATTGGTTCTACTTGCTATCTTTTGCCCAGAACATGTGCTATTTATGTCTTGACAGTATGTCTACTAATTAAGTTTTAGAAAATTGCAAAGGTTTTTAAATGGATTATTTAAGAAACGTACCAAAGTTGCCTGTTTGTACCCTTCTGCTACATATCTAATTGTGTTTTGTAACAACCTAATTGTCATGATATCTATTGCAAGGGGAAATTTACCAAGTCACAGTGCACCCTTCTGTTTGGAAGAAATATTTGAGGATGTGAGCAGAAATTATTTTTACATAAAGGCTTCAGGCAGTTAAGAGCACTGACACACATATCATATTTTCATCACTGTCATTCACTCCCTTTGCCTCAAATAAATAGGTCATTATTATTCCATTTCAGCCATCTTAGGGCACCTCGAAGTACGGAGCTCTGTTTAATATAACTGCGATCTAGCTGACCCATATAATTTATTGGTGATTTCTACAGAGTGACATCCTTGGTCCACCACCATCAGCCAAGGCACTTAGGTATCTTTCAGCAAAATATTTCATTATCACTTATAATTTTTTTAGCATTAGTATTATAACCATGTTAACGTAGCTAGGAATTGTCATTTTCTGAGACACAGGAATTGTCATTTTCTGAGACACTGGATTTTAGGTTGGCCTTAGAAATTTCAAAAAATAATATAGTAACGATGATACCACCATGGATTTGCAGAGCATATTATGTGCCGGAGCAGAGGAAGGGCAAAAATTCGCAGATGGCAAAAATTTTACCCAAATGATTTATTCCGTAATGACACATTAAATTGGTCTGATCTTATATTACTTAATTATGATAATTAATGTTTAGACTTTTTAAGAAACAAAAAACAAAAAGCCCTCTAATTCTGTTTTATTACCTTCATTGCTTAAAACACAAAATCATAGTCAACTCCTCTCTGCTCTCATCTCCTGTGCAAATGTTTTATAGCTTTAATACGAATATAGCATGCTACTCAGAATATACTAGGATTCCAAGTAAAGACGAAAAGTATATAGTTGTTTCCACAGGACCTATTCTATTAGAGCATAACTGAATTGCAACTGGCTTTAAGTCACAGGAGCTGCAAGATAGCAGTATCTATAAAGCCTTGGTTTATGTCACAGGGATTGAGGCTAATCACCTACTACCCTTTCTCTATGTTCCTTTTATAAATGGAAGATTCTTCTTTGTGTTGCTAATAAACTTCGTAAGCAGAAATCTCCCCCACAACCCAGTAGACCCCATTTGGTATTCTAGTCTCCTCAAGGCAAGTCCCATGACTTGAGACAGTTACAGCATTTGAATCATGCAGTTTAATTTTTCTTTCATTTTCTTTCTTGATTGGGTTACCCTGAGGAAATAAGGGTATTGTCCTTTCTGTACATACTTTTGCCAGGGCCAGCATAACCACCTTCAAAAGCTTGCTTGATTGGCAGGAATTCCCTTTCCTTGTTCTTTTCTCAAATCTGGGAATAAACTGCTCCCTCCAACTGGGTTCTGAATTCTGTTTGTCACAGTAATCCACTGAGGAAAAAATAAGCATCCCTTCGTTTTTTTCTGATCATTCTTTCTCTTTGTTGTTATTTTATAATACTGTTCATCACACTGAGCTTTCACTGTTGGATCAAGCTAGGGCAGATTTACCCTTTCACTCACTACAAGCCCTGTGGGCCTGCGTTCCCACACCCAGGTTAATTCCCTGAATTAGAGATCTCAAGGTTGGGTTTCATTTTGGTTTATTCTTCAGACACCACGAATTTTTGTTTATCTGTGGCTCTAATAATTTCTTCCTTATCCCTCTAGTTTCCTCTTTTCTAATCCTCTACCAGAGGCAGGTCTATTTCTAGGTGGATTTGGCTGAAAGCCATCTTAGACACCCCTTCTCACACTTCCCCACTGTGTCCTGCCAAAAACAGATCCTTCAGCAGAAATATGATAGCAGGTGCAAATCCTCCATTGACTCTAATTGCATCTCTATTTATGCTGTCTCATTTTTTTTTAGAATAGTATTTATCTTTGACCTTTGTTTCTTAATGTTGCATAGTTTTTTTAGAGATTGAATAAGCCACACTAAGTTGATATATAATTACATAGAGAGCTCCTTCAGAGTAGGGACAGTGCCTTCATTCTTGTATCCACACTACTCCCACCACATAATAGTTACTTAATAAATGTTTGGATTTAACATCTAGAGAAATGGTGATGATGGTGATGATGATAGCAGCTACCATTTACTCATGAGAAGCTAGACACAGTGCTAAGTGCTTTGTCTCCATTAATCCTCCCAACAGCTCTGTGAGATAGCTTTTAAATACTGTCCCCATTTTGTAGATGAGAAACTGGCCCAAGGTCTTCAAAAGATCCACCTGAGATCATACATTTGAAAAGCAATGTCTTTGTCCCTCTTCCTGATTGACCATTATACCTATTGCCTACATTGCACTTTTGTTCTGTAAGTGGGTATTAGGTATGTTTTCACCCACACTGCAGCTTCTTAAAGGCTAGAACAATGTCTTACTCTTCTCTGTCCCCTACTAGGCCAGGTGTAGAATTAGACATTCAACAATTGCTTCATTTTTTACTTTTGAGTTGAACTGTTCTCTCCTTCTACCTGTGCTGTGGAGCATTGGGGATGTTTCTGCGGGGGCCCTAGCCCTTGTCACTAAGGTTAGAAGCAGCAAACTAAACAGGTCTAGAGATAGGCCTGATTATTACATCAGCAGGTCTAAAAGCCCCACTGAGTTTTTGACATGTTGGAAAGGAGGTATTCTAAATGGCTAGAAGGGGGTTAGCCTGTAGAGAAGGGCGTGGTTCAGCACCACCTGGGACTTTGGGTGAGTCAAGGTGTGTGTTTCTGAGAGCAAAGTCAGCCTTCCTGGGATTTTATTGAGATTCCAAAGAGTCATAGTGGGGTAGGTCCTCACTCCCACACAGTAAACAACTGAACTGACTATACAGTAGACCCCCCCCACACACACACACCCATGTTTTCACTTTGCATGGTTTCAGTTAGGCACGGTCAACCGTCATCAGAAAATACTAAGTGGAAGATTCCAGAAATAAACAATTCGTAAGTTTTAAATTGTGAGCAGTTCTGATTAGTGTGATGAAATCTCAAGTCATCGGGCTCCGTCCCACCCAGGACGTGACTCATCTCCCTGTCCAGTGTATTCATGCTGTAGATGCGCCCTGCCCGTTAGTCACTTAGTAACCCTCTCAGTTATCAGATCGCCTGTGAAGGGATCGCAGTGCTTGTGTTCAAGCCACCCTTATTTTACTTAACTAATGGCCCGAAAGCACAAGAGTAGTGATGCTGGCAGTTCAGATATGCCAAAGAAACACCTTAAAGTGCTCCCTTTAAACGAAAAGGTGAAAGTTCTTGATTTAATAAGAAAAGAAAAAAATCCTATGCTGAGGTTGCTAAGATAAGAACAAATCTTCTATCCGTGAAATTGTGAAGAAGGAAGAAATTCGTGCTAGATTTGCTGTTGCACCTCAAACTGCGAAAGTATAGCCACAGTGTGTGATAACTGCTTAGTTAAGATAGGAAAGGCATTAAATTTGTGGGTAGAAAACACGAACAGAAAACGTGTTCTGACTGACAGCAACATGTTTTGCCACACAGCACTGAGCCACACAGCAAGGGATCCCCTGAAACGAGTGACACCCAGCGATTTGCTGCAAATAAGGGATGGTTACACAGATTCAGGACTAGGTTTGGACTGAAAAATGTAAAAATTACGAGAGAGAAAGAGAGAGAGACAGAGAGAGAGAAAGAACGTTCACATAACTTTTGTTACAGTACAGTGGCCCTTGAACAACACGGGCTTGAACTGCACGGGTCCACTTATACATGGATTTTTTAAAATAAAAATGTACAGTACTGTAAGTGTATTTTCTCTCCTAATGACTTTCTTGATATTTTTTCTCTAGCTTACTTTAAGAATACAGTTTATAATACATACAATATACAAAATATGTGTTAATAGACAGCTTATGTGCTCAATAAGGCTTCCTGTCAATAGTAGGCTATTAGTAGTTAAGTTTTTTGGAGAGTGAAATGTTATACTTAGGTTTTGGACTGCATGGGGTAAGGCTAGTGTCACAAGCCCCCACGTTGTTCAAGGGTTAAATGTATATTGTTATAATTGTTCTATTTTATAATTAGTTGTTTTTGTTATCTGTTACTATGACCAATTTATAAATTAAGCATTATCAGAGGTATGTATGTATAGGAAAAAAACCTAGTATATATAGGGCTCAATATTATCCACAGTTTTAAGCATCCACAGGGGTTCTTGGTACACATGCCCCGTGGATAAGGGGGGACTACTGTGCATTAGGAATGCCGACGTCCACCAAGAAGACAAGATTGTTTATTGGTCTGTCCTACCTAGTTCTGTTAAGTGGTCCCTTGAGTTTCCTGTGAGGTGACCAAATTGCTTAGCTCAAGGGCATGTGAGCTGAGGCTGAGTATGCAGACCTCCCCTACTCCATTTGTGACAGCTGCAGCTCCTCATAAAAGCCAGACTCTGTCTGACCTTTCTATATCTCTCCAACACGCTACTCAACTAGTATAAAATACTGGAGGCTGAAACGTTGGCATCACAACTTTTGAGAGCATATCGATTCCAGGCTTAGTTGTGTTTTACCCCTAGATCTATCTCTGATTAATAGACTCATTTTGTGGACCATGGAGAAAGGTATGTGACCCATACCAAATGTTGCTACTGGTACCCACTTCCTAATACGCTTCTTGATTCTCATTTTAATTGATCCCACTAACCAAATTTTAATTGATGGACATTTTTTTATAACCTTTTCTTCTCCTTTTTTTAAAGGTGATGGACAGAATTTGTTTACAAAAGATGTGACCGTTATCGAGGGAGAAGTTGCAACCATCAGCTGCCAAGTCAATAAGAGTGACGACTCTGTGATTCAGCTACTGAATCCCAACAGGCAGACCATTTATTTCAGGGACTTCAGGCGTAAGTTTCCATTTCTATAGTATTTGATGACAACTTTTTTTTGCTACATGTTGTCTTGATAAAGAGATTGCGAAGGCCTCCTTTTTTTAATTTAATGTTAGATGCTTAATTCTTCAGAGGGAAGCAGAGACATGCAATCATAATCTTTCTACTTAATAGAAACCTTGAATGGTCCCTTGTAAAAGTAAAGCAGTCTTACTTTGCAATAGAAATTGATTGTAGTAATTCAAGGTGAATTGCAATTGAGTCCCAAATATTTAGCTGACACAAACAACTCAAATAGGGTAAGACAAGGAAAATATAGCATTCTGAAAGGTAATCTGTTTGGTTTGAAGATTGAAGTTTCCAAGGCAATCTGTGCCTGTAAAGACAAAACCAAATCTCCTATCACCATAGCGCCTCTGGCATATGAAGGTATCCAGGTACTAAAATCTTCCCAAATGTAATATCACAAAAGTCAATAATCGAAACTTCATTGTATATCACAGTAATGGCTCAAATGGGTGTCAGGGCTTGGCAAGAATAAGAATCAGATCTTTCGAAAAATTACTTGAGAGCGCTGGTGCCTAACCAGAACAGGTGATGAGCGTGTCCCTTCTTGCCTGCCTCCCCCCATCTTCCCCTCAGTATATTCATGACCTGTGGAAAGTTGATAAATCTAAAGAATATTTAAGAAGATGAAGGAGGATAAAAGGAGAGAAGCCAGCTTCTCATTCTTAGAGTGATTTTTTTATCAATATATACTAATCTAGCCTTTGGCAAAATTAATATAAGGACTTTAAAAGTGAATATTTGATATAAATAAGTACGTCCACATACGTGTGATGACTGCGATTTCGCACTTCATGCTTAATCAGCTTCATGCTGTGAAGCTGAATGTAGCAGGAAACAGCAGGACAGGGCCAAGGCCTCCGTGGGCCCCGGGTCAGATATATTTGACAGCTCCACCTAAATCCTAGCAAATAATATCAAATGCAAAGATGCATCCAAGTTAAATTGGGTTATTTTTCTATACATTTTTTTTATGAACAATGTTCATTTTAACTTGAAATTCCTAATGATGTTTTGGTTTTCTCTCATAAGTTGGAACCACTATGTTTTTAAGGCCTCAGATTTTTAGACAGTTAAAAAGCCTGTAGGTCCTACTCCCTGAACTTCCAGTGCCCAAAGGGAACTCCTGGCCCACCCTTTCCTTCTGTTTTCATTTAACCTATCTCCAATAGAAAATCCCAAACCATTTATGAATAAGTGCTGAAAACTGGCAGCACCTGGAATTGTGGCAGGGTGTAGTGTGTGTGTGTGTGTGTGTGTGTGTGTGTGTGTGTTTGTGGTACGCACTCACACATTCACCTGTGTGTTTAAGTTTCCTTTTGGACGGGGTTATTTGTCCAAAATAGTTCTTAGAGACTATTAGAGAATAGTTATTAGAGAAGTTATTAGAGTTAGATAACTTTCTCTGCAGTTATTAGAGAAGCCCAAAATAGTAACTCAGGAAGTACAAAGAGTGCTTACCCAACAGGTCCAGAAGACTTACTCAGTGTTTCCACTCCGTAGCTGCCTTTCTCCTCATCTGACCATTTCCTCACCTAGGTAAGGAAAATAGACTGTCCTCTTTCCCACAGTTACGAACTCTGTGTTTTGTTTCACAGCTTTGAAGGACAGCAGGTTTCAGTTGCTGAATTTTTCTAGCAGTGAACTCAAAGTATCGTTGACAAATGTCTCCATCTCTGATGAAGGACGATACTTTTGCCAGCTCTACACTGACCCCCCACAGGAAAGCTACACCACCATCACAGTACTGGGTAAGAAAGACCCGGGGCTGCCCTGGGGAACAGTGGGGTGGTGCTTATACCACCAGATGACTTCCAGCAGCAAGGAAAAGGTTAATGGCGACTTGTACTGGTTACACTTGTTTTAGGAAGCATCACCAACCCATCTTGCTGAATTTTTAAACTGCCCTATTCTATTTTACCAAACACTCTGAGGAATGGCCATCAGCAATCTTTCTAGATTCCACCTGCTCTTGGGTTTCAAATCTTCAAACTTCAGAAGCAAAGATCAAGAGAACTTAGAACCCTCAAGTGAATCACTCACCATGTGAAATGTCATTGCTTCTAAGCACTAGAATCTTTTTTTTCTTCTGTGCAGGCGAGGAGGAGATGGACTTTCATAGCTGTACCCCATGGCAGAGATCTGTTCTGAAATCTGCTTAATGATTTTTTTCTTCTGAGTTACGTCTCGTTTTAATATTGTTGATCTCCTTTTCTTTAGCTTTCCTTATTGCATTGTTCATTGCTTATACTCTAGATTATGCTATACAAGTCGTATCACATGAACACATACTTTGCCACAGACTGCAACAATTCGACATGAAAGAATTAAGAGCTTCTAGGGCGAGAAGGCTGATAATAAGCAAGGACTGCTGACAGGCTGCTAGGACACCTCTAGTGAGTTGAGTGTCTTCATTATGATCACCAGATTGTGACTTTCAGCAAAATCCCAGTAGCCAGGTTTCTATGTGTATGTTTTGAGATAGTCAGCAGATATCCCTGTGTTGAAAGTGGTCTGAATTTGTCACCTTTTAGACAAACTTATACTCCAGTGCATAGCACCAGCTGATTGGGATTTTTGAAACTGAGTTTTCAAGGACATACACTACAGCGTGAAGCAAGATCTCTGATTTACACCTTCGGGAAGATGATGAATCAAAGCCTATTCGAAGCGGCAGACTGCAGCTTTTCGGTGTAATGATATGAAGATTAAAGAGGAAAGATAAATATGAAGGATGATTTTCTTGGCGTGTGTGAACATATACGTATTTATGGACATACGTATTGAGCTACTGCCTCATTATTTTATTTAAACACACCTATAAAAGAGAAAATATTTTTTAATTAATTCAATGAAAACATGTCCCTAATGCTTACATATACCATATGTTCTTGATAAGAGGAATACTGATTTTAGAAAGTCATGTTTCAAGTCTGGCCATACAGTTTCTAATGTGGCCTGTGTTTAATGGTGGACAGCTTTTAGGTGTACATGTTTGTCTCTGATTTCAGCTTTAATCCATATTAGACCTGCAGAAATAGTAACCATGAAGGTTTTTCTGGGATGACTATTTTGGCATTTTGCAGATGTACCACAATCATAAGTATGCATTTGTAGTTTTCTGTCCATCTACTTGTATAGAAGTATTTGAAAACACTGTGCTTATTGGAGCAAGTTATTGGCTGCATAGACTTCAACTTAGCCATCCGCCCAGAGACCCACCATTGTTTCTGGCTTTTCCACAAAAGTGGCAGCAATAAAATGGAATATACTTATGGTATTTCAAATTTTCAGAATGCTTTGCTATGTACACCTTTAAGTATGAATGTCTTTATTTCAAAGAAAGAAATGGTAATCAGAGGTTAATCATTTTGCCCAGTTTACAAAGCACATGGTGAGAGTCCAGAATCATGGACTTTGAAGCAGACCTTTGCGTCTCCTAGTCTAGATTGTTTTCTGGATTTTTCCCTGAAGGTGCACAGCTTTGGTTTTAGGAGTATGTCTGGCTGTTGGCAAGCAGGTACTGCCTGTCAGTGTTTAGCATCTGGTGCATTTGTTCTCAGACCCACTGGATTGGGCCAGTTTGACTGAATACACCCAGGGCTTGAGAGTCAGCATGCCAGCACTGGCCTTGTGAGAGGCATTATACCTGTAATCCCTGTGGAGGCCTGATTATTCTAGAAATGATAGGTTCCTGCTTATATTGTATATAAGCATTAACTTAAATATACTTGAAAGTAATACTAGTAATTGTTCTTTTCTGCAGATATTATACACTCATTTAATAGTCTTTCTATTGAATTTACTGTAGGATTTCTTGATGAAGTAAAATTGTTGTCATCAGTGTTTGAGTCCCTCATATTCCAAAATTGGACAATTTCCACTGATATTCATATATTCAAACTTTTCTCCCAAGGTTTGGAATTTTTAGATGCTATAATGAATGAAGAACAATATATTAGCCTCTTTGTGTCCATCTGTGAGTCTCTGAAAAGGACTCTATATGTATCTACACAGTTGTCAGACTTCTTGATAGGCTGAAGATGCTCATTTTAGTGTATGTGTCTGTTAGTTGTTTGAAACATTCCGCAAAAACTTCAGCATAATTATAAGACATAGAGATGGGTATTTGTTAGTTACTATTATGTTTATTGTCCTAACCCATGTAAAAACTGAAAACTCTCCTATATTTTGCATGCCTTTGGGTGTCTTTTAGGATATTCATTCACGCCTTCCACTTGTGAAGAGTTTGTGTCTTTCTCCAGATCATAGTGTAGGATTCTCTTTATGCTGCTATTCATCAGAGGAGATGAACGAGAGAGCGCATACAGTGCTTTAAGATTAATATAGTTACTGATAATAGTACCTAATATTATTACAGTCCTGTCCTTCTAAGATTAGTGTTCACTCTTAAGATTCCAGGAACAGGAGAACCTAATTATTTTAAAGGGTCTTAGAGTGAGACTTCACATACTGATCAGCTTTAAGACTCCTCTTTTGTTGTAATTAAGGTGACTCATCTTGCTATTGCTGATTTTTTTTAAATGTTGTAGGCGTAATGTTTATAATTAGCACTCTTATAGATCTGAGGTTAGCTAAGAAGAACCTTGACATTTCTTTGCTATTTCCTACTATTTCCTTCTACGTGATTTTCATTCAGGTTTTCATCTATATGCACTTCCTTAGATATATCTTTGGCTTTTTCATTAATGGCTGCAGACAGTTTTTACTAAGTATGTCTGCTTAGTGGACCATGTATAAGTGTATTCTCTGGTTAGTAGCAGTTTTAACTCATTTTTTTTATAAATGGATCTTTGTACTTTGCTAACCTCTTTTGTATTAGAGTAGACATTATGAAGTTAAATGAGAAGATAGGGTAGAATTAATAGACCAAAATAAACTTAAAGATTTTATTGTCCAACCCCCTTTTTTCAGAAAGATACATGTAAATCATCTCATTTATACTTTCCAAAGCTTTCTCACTCTTAAAAAACAAAAATCTGATGCAAGTCAACTTTATAACTGATATCAATAAACCGTTAAGACTCATACTATCAAATTTTATTTTACATTTGTAAACCAAACACCTCCAACTATACTTGACTGTTTCTTTTAATCTGAATAAAGATCAAAAATACTGGTTACAATCTTGAGAAAACGTTTATGGACTTGGAAAAATCATTCAATTACGTCTCGGATGCTTTTCTCAATAGTAAACAAGTCCTTCATTTTTCTACATTGATCGTATTTTCTAACACTTCTGAAGTTTTCCACAGGTTTACCTTAACCATAGAGTTAAAGATGATCTCGGCTCTTTAGGGAGATAATCATAGGACCTAGCATTGTTACAGGAATCGCTCCGAAGATTAAGGAACTTTAAAGTACAGTTGACCCTGGAACAACATGGGGGTTAGGGGCGGCAACTTCACATGTAACTTTTGACTCCCCCAAAACTTAACTACTAATATCCTACTGTTGACTGGAAGCCTTTCTAATTACATAGTCAATTAACACATATTTTGTATGTGATATATATATTATATACTGCATTCTTACAATAAGGTAAGCTAGAGAAGAAAATGTTATTAAGAAAATCATAAAGAAGAGAAAATACATTTTCAGTATTTATTGAAAAAAATCTGCATATAAATGAACCCACGCAGTTCAAACCTGTGATGTTCAAGGGTCAACTGTATATCTGTTGCAAAAAAAGGAGGAATTAACATGGATGATACCAAATAGTAGGTAATCCAGATAAGGACCTGTTAGTTGCCAGTGACTCTGTCAGCCCCCAAACGAAGTCTAAGAGACATTGGTAAATTTTCCTCTGGCCTCATTTCTACCTACCCCTTTTTATTTCCTTACTTTGAACCAGCAGACGTTATTGATAATGTGGAAAGAACATGCCATCATCATTATGACCATCTCTATTTTAGGGAGAGAATAAATACTTCCTCCACTATGTAATACCACTGAAGATGAATAGTTAGTGGAGGTGATGAGGAAAGCTAAGGTGTGTTGAGGCTCAGCAGGAGAAAGTAGAGAATGAAGGAAAAATATGCAGGAACACACAGAAAAGAAGTATCCGACAAAGACTATGAGACTAAATGCCATTGAGACTTGACAGGGATACATGCTGGATGGAACTTTTTAACCCCTCCTGGATCTGTTCCCATCAAGAACATTCCCAGGTTACCACCAAGTGACCTTCAAGGTGTTTTTCCCAGGGTTGTGCATGCGAGCTGGAATCTGATCTACTCCATTCTGTAGTATTTTCCAGGAAATTGAGCTTTGTGTATTATAGTAGCTTCAGCTATTTGCCCTCTTTGTCACATCCTAAGGGAGTCCAACTTCCTTGAGTATCCCATACTCAATTTGAGTTTCCTTAAATTGAGTGCTATCCAGTCAATTACATTTCTTAATTACTTTTCCCATAGGGAATCATTGCATATGTCACCATCAGAAATTATTTTCATTGCTTGATTTTTATTTTTGCCTGGACCTTGAAAGGAATTATTATTGTTTGACTTTCATTCCTACATTTGCAGGAAGGACTTGCCTAGGTGTTTTGCTCCATAATTGTTTCCTTTTTATCATCTCTTAGTCTGTTCTTCACAGCTCACCAAGATTTTATTTTCCTTAGGCTTTTGCAATTCTTTCCTTTAGCATTTGCTTAAACAATAGCATTTCTCCTCCTCCCACCCCCTCACCCCCCCCAATAGTCAGTCCTATTATACGGCACTCAGAATTTTGAGTAGCATTAAGTAGCATTAGTCGGTCCTAAACATCTAGCCTTTCCATGTATTCACTAGTTAGTCAGTTATCTAGGTACGTGTGATGAAAATCTTTAACCCACCTGATTGTCATCTAACAAGGATCAACTACATTAGGGAAGGAGCTAGCTGAAGTCATCCCATTTACTTTTGTTACTGCCTTTCTATGTCTCCTAAAATACTGGCAGATGTGCAACTCCAAATTAGATATTAGTCTGTCTCTCTTTATGCGTATTTTTTTCTTAAAATTTAAGTTAGGGCAGTTTTTCCCCATGTTTAACTACTCATTGGGGCCATATCACTTTAGCAACACATCCAGTTGAGCAAATCTGTTCTTTTTCTCTTTCAAGTGGAGCAAAGAAGAGGCCCGCTCTTGCGCCAATAGTTGCACCCCCACCGCCACGCACTATCTTGCTGAGAAACATATGCAACAAACCACTTTACTCTTACTTTTCCATTATTCTATGTATGAATTTTTACCGGCTTTAATTCAGTATGAAAGTCTTCCTGTGGGTAGAATTTTCATATTGGACTAGAACAGTTGTAAATCCCAAATATGTGGTTTAATCCCATAATTTATTGAAGCAGAATCAGAGATTTATTATTCAACTTGATCATCAGGATGGCATGTTTATACATATTTAATTTCTTGTTTCTCTTCTGAGTTGAGAAACGTATTAATCATAAGTCTCAGAACTATCTTTGCTTATTCATGGTGGTCAGGGCACATATTCTTAGATTCACTACTGAATTCAGTATTCTTACTGATTTTTATTTTAAGAAGCTCAGTCTTGAGGTGAAGTTGTACCTGATATAAAGTTTTACTGTCAACTCAGTTTCATAAAAGATAAGATGCTTTCCTCATCATCACCATCATTGTATATACTCTTGACTTGATATCCAGGATTTTAGCCCCAAAATATTTTATTCTATTTTATTACATATATGTTTAATATGCTTAGGGAAGGGCGGTTTTAATCCTAATACATAGATCTACTTGCAAGCACTCAGTAATCTTTTTCACCTTTGATTTCCAAAATCTGGAGCATTGGATTTCAGAATATAGAAAGTTACCACGAATTAACTGACTTTTCCTATATTACTGCATCTTCATACCAAAGGATTTTATTACCACACCATCCATCAGAAGTAATGATTATATTCTGAATCGCTACAAATAAGTTTAATTGACTAGAACTGGTTCTGAGACACAATTTTTCTATGTGCGTTTATGGTGAGTGATTCTTTTAAGGGACTCCCAAGTTTTTGATCTTTGCTGGTTGACTTTGGAATCTTTCATATGAAGATTGACATCCAAGGGTTGAGGTTAAGGAGGACTATTTCTTTCAGAGACTTCAAGGTGAGTTTGATAATTTCAGTAGTGTGTATGCCTCTTTCTTTTATATCTACTTTCTGGTCAATTTTGTAATAACTGATTTTTAACTGATCGAATATATTTTTCTAACTTAGTTACCGATAACTTGAGAATGGGAGACTGGTCATTATATAAGATAACTTTAGGACAACAATTCCTAGTTGAATTTTTTTGCATAATTCACTTTATTTGATGATGACTTTGTACTTCTTTTTTTCCCTCCAGTGGCAGTTTGTTTTAAATTCCCATCAGGAATGTCCATTATTTGTCTCCTGTTTTGATAACAATGGTGCTAGTTTCTTATGAATAGAATAGTATGTCCAGAAATAGATTCTGTGTTTAAAAAGCACACGTTTAATTTGTAGTCCCACCACGTAATCTGATGATCGATATCCAGAAAGACACTGCAGTGGAAGGCGAGGAGATTGAAGTAAACTGCACCGCCATGGCCAGCAAACCAGCCACAACTATCAGATGGTTCAAAGGAAACAAGGAGCTGAAAGGTAAGGTACACCTTGCCCTGGACTCAAGTAGTTTTTGCACATGGTTCCGGCAGGGGTATGCCTTTGTGGAAATGAAAGACAAATGCAACACATGTTCCCGAAACAAAAATCATCATTTAGATATCATCAGTACTGATGTATTTGAGGCTAAAGCATAACAGCCTTTTCTTGTTCTAATTCATGTCCTCATTCCGTGGTTTGAGGGTTTATGGTGATGTCTGTAGCTAGATGAGGGAGACCGGCTCCCACAGGTCCAGGGGTTCCCTCAGGTGGAGGCGGCGTGGGGGAGGAAAAGAAGAAAAACCCTCGGAGACACAGGAGCACTTTTTCAAGAAAAGTGTCTCACTTTATTCTTACAGCATGTCCCTTTTATATTGGGCAGTTGACTATTTACATCATTGAGCTGTTTTTCCCAGAGTTGTTTTTCCAAGTTTAAACCTTTACCCATTAGGAAATTGTTTTCTACATAGTTTCAATGTTCCTTCCTTCCTAGGGTCTATTTTCCTTAGAAGTTTGTTTTTCTCAGAGTTTTACTTCCTCACGATGTTTCTGTTAGAGGGTACAGCCCGGATCTGTTCTATATTAATGACTAACTTATCCTAACTATGTTTCAATTTCTATCGATAATGGCCAGAGCTGAGTTCCTGCCTTGGTGCTTAAAGGATGTTTATGACTTAGCAATTATTTCAAACACTACTGGCTAAACAGGATCTTAAGAATTATAAGGTGCATAACTTGTCTATTGCTAAGAAACTAACAGCAAAACAGAATTATCGCAATATGTCTAAAACTCACTTATTCAGTTAAGATAAACTAACCAACCAATATAAGAAGGGGTGTCAGATCTTCATCCTACTGGGGGGCATCCAAAGGGGAATTTAAATTTTTTTAAAGATATAAAGCAGTATCTGTTTCTCAGTCAGAGCTTCAGAATTTGTCACAATTGCTGTGTGCTTGGCCATGTCAAACACTGAGATGCAGCCGGTTCCCAACAGCTAGAGTTTTATTAAGATGGTTAGAAAGAACTAGACCTGTGAACTAGAATGCTTTAGACCAGGAAGAACTACTGTCAGAGGTGTCCTCTGAGCTCAGACTGTCCATGCATGTTTTTTTTTACCCTCAGTTCTCATCGCTTTTACTCTGTGACTCAGGATAAATCAGAACTCCAAATTCTCATGTTACACATTTTTAAAAAGTGTATCACGGTCTTCACCATGGTGAATTCCAAGTCATTCTAACATCTATTGCACTATCAGCTGTGTTGACAATGTGCTTTCCTATGATGGTGGCTGTGCCAAGCGGACTAAGAATTTTATCTTATTGATGAGTTTGCAGATACCACTTTTCTTGTGAAACCTGTAATTCAATTGCCCATTTCACCAGCTTGTTTCTTTGCAAATTTTCTGATTTTGTGATGGCAGCACAAGCAGTTCCTGTAGCCCGGCCCCCATCACCTCTCCCTCAGTGCTAGGGCATCCCAAGTTTGATTCCTAGATCCTCAAATGTCTGCTCCCTTAGCCATTGCATCAGCTAAAGGGTGCAGCCTATCCCGTATTTGACCGGTTTTGTCAGTTATCCTAAGTCCTCATGTATGTCACCATTCCGCCTCTTTCCTTTCCAAAAGGTGTCCTTGCAAGTAGTACCCAGCACAAGGGGCTCGGAAACTGAATTCTTCTGGTTCTTTACCGGAAACGTGGGCTGTGTGCCTCAGTTTCCTCTAAAATGGGGATAATAGTATTGCATACGGTATGTGATTCTTACGAAGATGTAATGAGGGAATGTTTGCAAAGCATGTAGCTAGTATCTGGGCCAAAGTAAATGCTTTGTATGTGCTTGTTAAATAAATAAAGAGTGCCAGGAAGAAAAGAAGAAGCCCTTTTTAAGGGGATATAAAAATCTATATCTAGAAGCAGATGAATCTATATATAACAGCTTAAGTTTCAAAAAGCTTACCCTGTTTTAATCTCCTATTTCCTAGGTATGGTTTTGGAAGGAAGGAATTTCTCATTTCCCCTCTGCTTTTCTCTCTAAGTGAATTGAGCCATTAAATGTGTACCGATAAATACAAAACATTAAAAGAAAGTTAATGGTGCGTCTTGTCCCAGGAAGTGCTGAGTTCAGGAAAGGGGCCTCCTTGGCCTATTCATCCCATCCGGAAGCCTCCTCTCTCCTTTTCTGGGTGTTCTTGGATGCGTCTCCCGTCTGGCCTGAAGCCTATAGCTTACTTTGCTCTACCCACTGCCATTGCCTTTTTTGTGGTCTTCCAAAAGTCTCAGAGTTTAAACATTTCAATTAGAATTTCAATTATGTAAATCTGTTCTGTTACTTTCCCTCTTTAATTGTTGCTGATGGGGGTGGGTAAAGGGGATTGTTTTTATCTCTACTCCTGATTGAATTACTTAGGGGATTTGGATGTTTTCCTGGAATTTTAAGCCAAATGACAGTCTAGTAGAGGTTTCAAATTCAGATGGTTCTAGGGGTGAAAAGCACTTGTCTTTTCCTCCTCCTGAATGCCTTGAGCAGTCAGATGTCAAAATGGTTCAACTTCTAGCCACCTTTCCATGGGAGGTTTTAAGATAGAAGAAACATATGTAATATATGTAAACAAAAATGGTATGTATTATGTGGGGTTGAAATATATCTTAAGTACCATCCTATAAGGTTGAAAAGTAGGAAATTGTCACTTCTCAGTCATCTACCCACAGATTACCTTTATCTCAAGTGACTTCCATCATCTTTGTTAAAATAGTCATGTTGGGGCAGGATATAAAATCAGAATGATAGAAATTTACTCAGCTCTGGCTTCTTGGTATGTTTCATGTCCCCCAGGCAAGTCGGAGGTGGAGGAATGGTCAGACATGTACACTGTGACTAGTCAGCTGATGCTGAAGGTGCGCAAGGAGGACGACGGGGTCCCAGTGATCTGCCAGGTGGAGCACCCTGCCGTCACCGGGAACTTGCAGACCCAGCGGTACCTAGAAGTACAGTGTGAGTACCTGTTTCGGGCCATTTGAGCTGCTGTAACAAAAGACCACAGACTGACTAGCTTATGAACAACAGAAGTTTATTTCTCCCAGTTCTGGAGGCTGGGAATTCCAAGATGAAGGCACCAGCGTTTGTCAAGTTCTAGTGAAAGCCCTCTTCCTGGTATATATCTGGCACCTTCTTGCTGTGTCATCACATGGGGAAGGGGCTAGAGAGCTCTCTGGAACCTCTTTTATAAGGCACTGATCCTAATGACGAGGCCTCCATCCTCATGACCTAAGCACCTCCCAAAGGCCGCCACCAACACATAGGGCATTAGGATTTTAACATAGGAATTTGGGGTGGGGGACACAAACATTCAAACCGTAGCAAAACCTGAGCATTTTATTCTGGGGGCATTGAGTAGCAGTTGCTTAAAATCACTTCAGAAGCCATTTCTTGAATACATAGGTTTTTATATAGTATAGACAGAATTTTTATTTTGTTGTCTTGGTAGAAAAATAAGCAAAGGATTACTTTACTGAAACACTGTCATATTATAGAGTACCAATGGGGATTTCGAAAAGACTAGATTTAACCTAAATTGAAAACTTTAAAAATGATTCCAATCTGCTGTAGCACATGACTTAATTAAATGTTGTGAATATTGACTATAATCATTTGTATGTCAACCTCAAAATTTAGGGCACCCTTCCCCCCTTTTATTAACCCCATCATAAGTACCGATTTTTGTATAGAAGAGATTTTTATTCCCATTCTACATCAGCATTTTGTTTTAAATTGGGCATTCTCTTCCATTTTTAGCTTAAATTATAGCAGTGACTTTAAAAGTGGAACTATTTGGGATCAGTGCCACAGTCTTGATGGCTTCATCAATAAAAGCTGTATTGTGGTGACTGAGGTTATCTCCTCACTGTGCCCTATGGACTAAAGATGTTCTCCTCATCTTCTCTGGGCTCTCCTACTTGTGAAACAAAAATATCTAGTATCTGTTTTCTGCACAAAACCATCCTTGCACCAAGGTTGTGGCTGAGTAGCTACTTTTCTCTTTTTATCAAAAGGCTTTTGTAACTTGGCCTCTGAAAAATACCAGGGGATGTTTGAGTATGCATAATGAAAACATTATGAGTTTGGTTGGATGGCGATGAGTGGGCATCTCATAAACGAAAAGCATTACCTTCTATGAGTTCTTCTATTTGTCCTAGGGCTGCCATAACAGATTACCACAAACTTGGTGGCTTAAAACAACAGATATTTATTCTCTTACAATTCTGGGGACAGAAGTCTGAAATCATGGTGTTGGCCGAACTCCCTCTAAAGGCTCTAGGAGATGACCCTTCCTTGCCTTTTCTGGCTTCTGGTGGCTCCAGGCTTCTTGGCTTATGGCCACTTCACTCCAGCCTTTGTTTACATCTTCACATGGCCTTTTCCTTTTCCCTGTGTGCCTCTTACAAGGACACTTGTCATTGGATTTAGGACCCGCCCAGATAATCCAGAACGTTTTTTATTTCAAGGTTCTTAACACAGTTACATCTGCAAAGACCCCTTTGCAAATGAGGCCACAGTCACAGGTTTCAGGGGTTAGAAAGTGGGTGTATCTTTGGGAGGGTCACCGTTCATCCTACTGCAGCCTTTATCATGTGTTTAAATGGACCAAAACAGGGGATAGGGAAAGTTATAAAAAGTTGTTTCTAACAGACCATCATCCCATTCTAACCTTTTCTTCCTCTGTGAGCTTGGCTCAATTTAACATTACATAATGCAGGTTTTTCTTGTTAATTCATTTCATCTACTTCATTATGTAGCTTCATTATGGGCATCGTGCTTATAATTTTCATATCACGAAAACTATTGTGGTGTAATGTCCCTATAATGGGAAAACATAAATGATCAGATATTATCTAAATTGGCAGATAGTAGATTTCTTTTGACTTTGTTAATATGTAATTCATTTAAGCAAACTTAATATCCATTAACTTCCCTTGTAGGGGCCCATTAGCTTTAATAATACATTAGCTCCTTTGTGAGACCTGAGTAGATATTCACCCAGTTCCCACCCCTAAACTCTTTTCAGTAGCTTCCCAGAGTATCTTCTAAATAGAATATCGCCCCCACCCACCTACAAAATTACACTCACTCCCAAATGCAAAATTTCAAGCACTATATACCTCCTACTCCTTGGAAGACTTGATAATGATCTTTATGAGCCTTATCTTTCATATTCTGTAGATTCAAGTGAGATTTGTCCCTTTAAGAAAAGGAATTAAAGTACCATATCTAAATCTATTTTACTTCAATCTTACGAAGTACTGCTAGCCCTTAACTGAAGGAAAATGCGTCTAATGCCTTCCAAAAATGAAGACAAACCTAATGATCATTTTTAACTGACATGTCACCTCTCTATGGGAGATCCTGTTCTCTTACAAACATTTTATCTTTGATACTCCATTTGTTTAGAATGTATGTAAGGAAAAAAGCCTTTGTGCATAAAAGAAGGTTAAGAATCACAAAGCATTATATTAATCTGGATGGAATTTAGAATCTGGTTTGGCATCTTCAATAAGACCCTCTGTGCTCAAAAGTCACCCGATAGTTCACCACCCTACATTCCTAGATCACTGCTGAGAACTTTACAGGAATTCCTTAAGTAGCTTCTTCAAACACTATTGGAATTCTCTACATCATTACCTACCAGCTTTACATTTCTTGAATACCAGCAGCTATGCAATAACAAAAAGCCTCATGCCTGAGATGCGAAGGCACTCAGTCATTGGGTGTCAAAACTGTATCAGTCATTGATGGGCCAGTGGTTCAACTCCATTCTTCCCAAGGAGGCCTCTCTCTGCACACAAGCTGCACCATGTCTTGATGGCCATGAGAAAAGAAGACATACTTTAATGCATGATATTCAGTAGCCAATCTCACGGATGTTGAATTATTTTGGATACCCTATGAGGAGTAACATTAGACCCTTATTTATTAATTGGCTCAAACTCTTGGAGTCAGCAGTTCTTAACCTTTTGGGGATCATTGGCCTCTTTAAAAATTCCCTGAGAGCTTTGAAATAGCTTAACAATCACACATTCACCACATTTTGCTTGCAATTTAAGAAGGCTGTTGACCTTACAGAGTTTACCTAACTTCAGTTATTGGAGGGCCATTTTCAGAAGTTTTACCATATCAACAGGTTATCTCTATTCTTGCCCTATTTAGAATTTAAGTCACTTTATTGCTTTAGCCTACCCAAGACCTATGTAAAAATACCTATGAAGTTATGAGTTTTGTTTTCTATGTATGTTACATCTAATAAACAGTAAAATAGTTATACAACTGTTATTTTTAAATGTTGTTTTTCCTTTGCCACCTCAAAAGATTTCTTATATTATAAGTGATAAATATTAACTCACCACCAGGAAATATTGAACTCATCCATGTACCTCAGACTAAGAATTGCTCTACTCTGGGTGGATAAGATTACCCTGCGGGCAAATCTAACCGGATAGGATTGGTATTAACTGTACTCATTTGGTTCAACCTGGCCCATTTTGCTCTACAGCAAGGCTTACGGAACCCTCTCTCTACCTTATCTAAAAGGAATGGATGTTAACCAGGATATGAAGAGGGATAGATGACACAAAATAGATTTGAATTCTTTATAAATTATCTCCTCCTAAAAATTACTGTTTTTAAAAAACGAAATGAAATAATGAAAATCTACATTGTATGCCATTAAATATCTTACTTTAAATATGACAGGAGAAGAAGTGGGGGTTAAATGAATGTAGTGCTACCATATTGCGTAAAAGACAAGGCTTGAGCTACAGCTTGGAATTGCTTTTGTCTTGTGGATTTAAGTCCTAATTAATTGAACACAGAATTTTGCAATGTTTGTTTGTTAGGACCCTTATTGTGGTACCAGGAGAAATTGTTGTGCCCAATTATGTGAAAAATCAGCCAGATGTGTATGCTGTCATACTTTTAATAATCCTTAAGTTTTTGGTGAGTACAGATATTAATTGTGTAGTATGCATTGAAGTGATTAACATCAATGTAATTTATCATCTGGAGATTTCTGAACATAAATAAATGAGTTGTTTTGTTCAGCAAGGTGTTGACCCCGTCAGAATTAGTGAATTAAAGTTCCCCCTCCCCCTTTTTTATTATAAATATGAAAGGCACCACAATCAGCCAAGTGTTCAGTTATTTGATTTTCTGGGGCATTAGCTGCTCTTGTTTGTGACATTTCCCTGTTGGGTGCTCGTTTGCAAGCTCATTAATAAGGTTTTCTCATAGGAACGTTGCTGGGAGTGAAGAACATACAGTAGGGCTCTTAGTTTTCTAGCTTTCATTCTGAGACTCGGCAAGGGTACAGCAGCAGCACGCAGTTAAATGTTTAAAACAGAAAATAATTATGCTCGCGAGCTGGAATTCAAAGCTCTCTTGCCTTAGCTGTTAGGCAGAGAATAGTTTTGCTTTTGAATGTTCTGAGCTATATGACCCTCAACTCTTTCTGTGCATTTTTTTCTTCCGAATGTCTGGGTACGTAGTGTTGCTCGAATTTACAACATGGTTGATTATAGCAGAGCATGATACAGTTGTAGCCCAGTTAGTAGAGCTTCAGATCTGAGGGAACGTACTCTTGTCAAATAAAAGCCTGCTTAAACGAGAACAGTTCACTGTACGTTAAAAGAAAACTGTCTAAATAGCATCAAGGTGGCAACACGTAGCGACATAAGCTGGGAATTCAAAGAAAAGCTGTGACCCTCAGTGTGGAATTCAGATTGCTGTGCAAAGGGGGGAAAGCCTTACTCTGGACTGAGGTGAATCTGAAGCTCTTCAATTACTGCTGTGTGTCTTTTGCTTTCCCCCATCATAGCTTTGCTCATTAAAATGTTTTTGTGGAACTGATTTTGCAAGGGTTTTGTATGTGTGCGTATTTGTAAAAAAAAAAAAAAGAGATGAGTTTTCAAAGGGAGCATGAAAACAAAGACTCTAGAAATGGG